CCCCTCTCCATCGGCCCTTCTTCTTATAATACCCTTTGTGTTTCTTATTTTAAAAATAATAATGACAAAAGGACAAAAAGAGAAACAAATAGAAATGAGATTATACTTTGTTTTGATGGTATATGATAAGCATGTTTTGGCTTACGTCGAAAACTGAAACTGCTATTGACTTTTTTCATACTTTTAAAAAAGACAAATAAGACTGAAGAAATATTCCTGTCCCACCAGCCCCAACACCTCTTATCATTCGTTTGTAGTTTTCGAATAATTAGTCTTGTTTATTACTATTATCAACTTTTTTAACTTTTTCCTTATTTTATCTTTATTCTTAACAATGTAATATGACTAAAATATAGTGACCAATATTTATAGTGAAAAAGACCTATGTAGCCGGAATATTAGGAAGTCGAAAAAAAGCTCTGCATGCGCATGTTAAGCAAGGTTAGCTAACCTGCGCTTCAACCATGGCTAGACAAAAGAAGAAACTTCCAGTGATAACAAAAGCAAAGGAAGATGATAGTAAGGAGGAAACACCTGCACTCAACTAGTCTACTCGCTGGTTAACAGAAATGGGCTCGGCACCTACAGTTTTTCACAAACCAGCTAAGGATGATGGAATCAACGGAATGATAGTGACGCCGGATACAGGAATTCAACAGAGATTGCACCCGGTAACATTTGGTAGCTTTTTGCCACAAAAATTTCAGCCAATTAGGGAAGAAAGTGAGGAAGATGACGAACAAAATCTGATGAAGGAAAACGGTAGTATCACGAGGTCCATCGGGCGACGNGAATGGATTTCAGATTTGATCCAGGTAGTGTGAGTATAATTCCTCTGTGGATCACTTTCCCGGGACTTCTCTTGGGATATTGGTCAACTGAAGCTCTTAGTAAACTGGCTAGTGTGGTTGGGAAGCCTATGTATACTGATAAGATTACTGCTGAAATGGAAAAGGTATCCTATGCAAGAGTGCTAGTGGAAACAGATATATCCCAACCATTACTAGATAACTTTGAATTACAAACTAAGAGGGGAGTCATAACTCAACAAATTGAATATGAATGAAAGCCAAAGTATTGTTGTGAATGTATTAGATTTGGGCATAACTCAGATGAATGTTGGCACAAGGAAGTGCAGGAAAAGGCAAAGGCAGTAAAGACTCAACAAAAGGGAACATGGGAAAAGAAACTACTACACAAAGGGACCTTGAAATGGATGCCAAAAGCTAAGGGGAAGGATGATGTAATCCAACAAGCAAGGAATGCAGGGGACATTCAACAAACAATTGACAATGCAAATGGCAGGGCTGTAAACAATGGGAAAATGAAAGGGAAAAGTGTACAACAAAGTGCAGTTGTTATGATGAATACCACTAACGGGTTCTCTTTGTTGCAGACAGTAGAAGATCCAAGACCCCAAATGAATCTTTGCACTTGGAATATAACGGGCCTTAACAAGGCCCATAAGCCAAAGGAGTTAAAACTCTTTATGAGAAAACATAAAATTGATTTTATTGGCTGTTTAGAAACAAGAGTAAAGGAATTGAAGGCAAAAAGAATTGTGCACAAAGTATGTAGTGATTGGAGGTGTTGCTGGAACTATAAGGAGCATCCAAGTGGAAGAATTTGGCTAATGTGGAGATCAAATATTGAGGTGCAGATTCTGATGCTTGATGAACAATTTATACATTGTGAAGTCCAAGAAAGAAGCACTACTTTCAAGACTTTGGTAACAGTGGTGTATGCAAGTAATGAGGTGAATAAGAGGCAGCAACTATGGGAAAAACTGGTGAATTTAGGCAGAACTATACAGGAGAGTTGGCTTCTCAGTGGAGATTTCAATAATGTTCTCCACACAGATGACAGGATAGGGGCTCCAGTCACTCACAATGAAATAAAGGGGTTCCAAGATGCACTAATTACCTTGCAGCTCACTCAGGTGAAAAGTTTGGGATGGTTTTACACATGGTGCAACAAACAACAACCAGAGAAAAGAGTCTATAGCAGAATTGATTAGGCACTAGGGAATGTGGAATGGATGCAGAAATATAGCCACATTGAAGCAGATTTTTTAAATCCTGAAGTATCAGACCACTCCCCTATTCTATTGCAGTGCAAGGCTGTGGATCAAAGAAGGAACCTGCACCCTAAACCATTAAAATTGTATAACTCTGTGATGGAGCATGCTGACTTTGCAGGCATAGTGGAAAGGGTATGGAATCAAAGGTTAAATGGTGACAATATGCACAGGGTATGGAGTAAGCTCAAAGCCTTGAAATTGGAATTGAAGGAGTTGAATACCTATATGGCATCTTATAGGATCCACCTCAATAAGGCTAGACAGAAACTTGAAGTCATTCAGAATGAATTAAGGCTCAATTACATGGATCAAGACTCGATTGATCAAGAGAAAATGGTTTTGATGGAAGTTGAGAAATGGAGCAACATAGAGGAGCAGATCCTACACCAGAAATCTAGAGCACAGTGGATCACTTGTGAAGACTCAAACTTAAAGTATTTCCATGCACAACTGAAGATGAGGACAAATATCAACACTATAAACTCTATATGCACTGATTTGGGAGACAGGCTGTGTGACCCTATTCTAGTGGAAGAAGAGTTTACAAAGTACTTCAGGAAGATATTGGGGGAAAGCAACACTACATGTCAATGCCCAAACTCTGAGGTTATACATCAAGGTCCTTGTCTTAATTTGCAACAGAAAGAAGACCTAGTAAAACCAGTTACAAGAGAAGAAATACTCCAAGCAATTAAGGATATGGCCCATGATAAGGCTCCAGGAGTTGATGGTTTCCCAGTAGAGTTTTTCACAAGACATTGGCAAGTTGTTGGTGATGACATATATGAAGCTGTGAAGGAATTCTTTGTGACTGGGAGGTTGCATAAAGGAGTAAGTAGTACAGCTGTAACTCTGATCCCTAAAGTGCAAAATCCTAGTCAAGTGAAGGACTATAGGCCCATAGCATGTTGTACAACTCTATATAAAATTATCACAAAGGTCCTTACAGCAAGATTAAAAGCAGTCATTGGAGATCTAATTGGGAGATCACAGTCAGCTTTCATTGAGGGTCGCAGCATCACAGATAACATCTTGTTCACACATGAATTGTTCAAAGGTTATAACAGAAAGGGCATCTCTCCAAGATGTGTCCTCAAAGTAGATTTAAAGAAAGCCTATGACACAGTGGAATGGTGTTTCTTAGAAAGACTGTTTAAGGATATGGGGTTTCCTTATAAATTCATAGGATGGGTAATGGAGTGCATTTCATCAGTGACTTATTCCCTCAACATAAATGGTGGTCTCACAGTTCCTTTTAAAGGCAAAAGAGGCATAAGGCAAGGAGATCCAATGTCTCCCTACCTTTTTGTCCTGGCCATGGAGTATTTGCAAAGGGAGTTCATGCAAATGATGAAGAGGAAAGATTTCAAATTCCATCCTAGGTGCAAGAAATTAGGAGTGGTACATGTATGTTTTGCAGATGACCTGCTAATGTTTTGCAAAGCTGATATTCAGTCTGTTAGACTACTAAAACAGACATTCCAGAAGTTCTCAAAAGCATCTGGTCTTCAAGCAAATGCTGAAAAGAGTGCCGTCTATATAGCTGGAGTGTCAAATTGGCATAGAGAGGAAATTCTGCAAGAGTTGGGTTTCCCTGAAGGTAGGCTTCCTTTCAAATACCTAGGGGTACCTTTGGACTCCAAAAAATTAACCATTGCTCAGTGCTGGCCACTAGTAGAGAAAGTAACTCAGAAAATAAACTGCTGGACATCAAGATTGCTATCATATGCAGGGCGCCTTCAATTGATAAAATCTGTATTATTTGGAGTGCAATCCTATTGGTCTCAAATTTTCTTATTGCCAAAGAAAGTGATGAGGATGATAGAGGCAATATGCAGATCTTACCTGTGGACTGGCTCAGCTACTGTGTCAAGAAAAGCTTTGGTTTCTTGGGAAACCATTTGATTGCCATATAGTGCAGGAGGTCTCAATGTAATGAACTTACTAGTTTGGAACAAGGCTGCTATTGCTAAGCACCTATGGTAGTGGCAAAGAAGAAAGACAACTTATGGATTAAATGGTTGCACATCTATTACATAAAGAATCAGAGCATTGAAGATATGCCTACTCCTAGGAATGCAACCTGGGTAGTTAGGAAGATCGTTGAGTCAAGGAAGATGATAAACGAACTTCAAGGCATTCAAGGCAACCTGGAGAGCAGACTGATACAGCTACAAAGGGGTGAACTATTCAGCATTAAAAAACTATACAGGCTTCAATACCCTCACTACCAAAAAGTTCAATGGAAGAGCATTATGTTGCAGGCACATATACATCCAAGATACAAGTTCATACTATGGCTTGCATTACATAGCAGATTGGCAACAGTGGATAGGCTTCTGAAATTTGGCATACAAGTTCCACAGCAATGTATATTCTGCGGGCTAGCTATTGAGACCTTTGATCACCTTTTCTTTGAATGCTCGCTGACAAAGGCACTATGGAATAGACTACTAAGATGGCTGGGATATCATAGACCTATATATGACTGGCAGCATGAGGTTGAATGGGTAAGCAAGAATGCAAAGAGGAGGAATGGACTAGCAGCAATAACCACCTGTGTGTTTGGGATGCTGGTGACTGCTATATGGAGGGAAAGAAATAAGCAAAGATTTCAAGGAGGGAGACTGCTCGGCAACAACATATGTAAAGAAATAGCCATCCACATACACATGAAGGGGACTTCAATTCACGACTGGAAGGAAGCCTTGTTGAGTTTAAATTCTTACCCTTAGGAAGTTGAAGTCTGTTAAGGCTTCTCTGTATTGTCAAGAGTTTTAGCTTAGGAGTGAAGAAATGTTTTGTATCATCTAGTATGAGATGTAGCCGCAGACTAGTTTGTTTAGATCATAGAATGAGTAGATGGTCAGCATCTACTGAATGTAATGTAAATTTTTTGATGGAATGAAAGTGATCTGTTTATCAAAAAAAAAAGAAAAAAAAAGACCTATGTACATTAATTCTCTTACTAAATATTTTTTTAGAAATTCAGAAACTATAGAAAAAAAAAATAGTCTTAGAGCTGAGAGCAACACTTCTCATATAGAAATAGGAGTATGAGATAAGACATTTACAAATGTTAGTGGGAATTCATTGTGAGGCTATAAAAAAAACAAATATTTCGGGACGAATATAAGTAAGGAGAGTTATTTTATCTCACGTGTAAAAACTATTTTAATTTCAATGCATTGATAATATGAAAATATACAATTGGATATCAAGCCATGTTATCAATTCCCGAGTAAACCATAGCTATATATTTCTTTTACTTTTAAATACTTAATTTAATTTAATCATGTGCAGTATCAATACTCTAATATAGACACGTGTATACATATATCTCGCACGGATTTATTTTTTAATGTATATCTCACATAGATGACTAGAAAATATAATGTCAAAATATACTACTCCTTTTTTTTTTTAAATATGTTATAAGTTGAGGTAATTTCTAGATCGTTCCAATTTCTTAAACTTAAATACAATGAATTGGGACATAACCCACAATAAGCAACAGAAAAACTATAACTGTGATTATGAATATTCAAGGAACGTGTGTGAATTACACCTTTTAATTTGAATAAAATAATTTGTTTAACAAGAATAATTCAAACTCCTCACCAAATCCTACGTGTAAGCCATGTCATGCGTGAGAGTCAAACGCTCCTCGTGCGTTTATTGATGACTTCTCATTACTCTCAAAAGTCCAATACCCACTACGCGCCTTACTTTTGTCTCTATATATATATCCCCTCACCCGCCATGAAAATTCATATCAAAGCTTCAATCATATAACTGTACTCTTTTTTCTTCATCCAAAAAAAAACCATATCGAAACACTGAAAATTTTGAATCATTTCTGCAACTGAAGAAGATGCCGAGAAAAGGAATGAGAACTCTTAATTGGTTTTCACCTAAACATTTAACAACTGATAGCACTTCTCCATCTACTTCTCAATTCTCTTCCCCTTCCCGTTTCGGATTTTCGCCTTCTCGGCCGAGTTTTTCAGAAGCGGTGATTGATCGGACACTGGAAATGGCGGAGCCGATCATCATGAAGTGGGACCCAGACACCACCACCTTTGCTAAGGTGACTTCTCTGTTCTATGAAAATAGAAGAGAAGCCAAGGATTTTATCAAGTGCGTGCATAATCTACAAAAGGCTATGCACTTTCACTCAACTGAGAATTCGAGATCCGATAAGCTTGTTCGTGCTCAATCTCTAATGCAAATTGCAATGAAACGGCTGCAAAAGGAGTTTTACCAAATTCTTTCGATAAACAGAGCTCATTTGGATCCTGAATCCATATCTACTGTCTCTTCCGGTACTTCGACTCGATCGAGTATTTCTGATTTCGACGTTGAAGATGACGATGATCGTGTAATTGGCGGTGAGTCTATTTCTGAAGTTGAGGATTTTTCTAATATTGTAATGGCGGATTTGCGACTGATAGCAGAATGCATGATCTCTTCTGGCTACGCGAAAGAGTGCTTGAATATTTACAAAGTTATACGTAAATCGAGCATTGATGAAGGCATTTATAGACTCGGTGTTGAGAAATTGAGTTCTTCACAAGTTCATAAAATGGATTGGGAAGTTGTGGATCTGAAAATCAAGGATTGGCTTAATGCAGTGGATGTAGCCGTGAAAACATTGTTCAACGGAGAGAGAATTCTCTGCGATCACGTCTTTGCATCTAACGATGCAATCAGAGAGTTGTGTTTTACTGAAATTTCAAAAGACGGAGCCATGATTCTGTTTAGTTTTCCAGAAAATGTGGCGAGAAATAGCAAGAAGTCGCCGGAAAAAGTGTTCCGTCTGCTCTATATGTACACCGCCATTGCCGGGTACTGGCCGGAGATTGAAGTTATATTTTCTTTCGAATCAGAATCAGTTATCCGATCTCAGGCGTTGACGTCACTCGTCAAGCTTGGCG